AATGTCACTGGTTGTTTAAAAAGCTGTCCCTGGGGCAGTGCTGGCTCTTGCAGCCTCCAGCAGCTGCTCTTGGTACCCTGAACTGAGCTCCTGGGTCTCCCCTGAGCCTGGCTGCTTTCCTGAGCTGCACTTTATTCTACAGCTCATGTCACAATGCACAAAATACTGTGAGATGGTCCATAGTCACAGCTCTGCTCCAGCTGTGTCCACATTGTCATTCCAGTTACAAAACAGCCTGAAGAAGAGTAAAAGAAKGTCTTGAGTATTATAACATTTACTAGATGCTGGAAATTTCTAGAAGCAATCCTGGAAGCTGGCCGAAGAACCTCACTTGTCTTGTGTTTCTTCTCCCCTCTGTGCCTCTCCTCCCAGATAATAGTGGATGATGACGACAGTAAAGTCTGGTCATTGTACGATGCAGGACCAAGGAGCATTCGCTGCCCACTCATATTTCTSCCTCCTGTGAGTGGAACTGCAGATGTGTTTTTCCAGCAAATTTTGGCACTGACTGGATGGGGCTACAGAGTTATTGCTGTGAGTATTCTCAGTCCTGTGTCAGAGGTGGTGTWCTTGGGCTTGTTGCTTTGATCAGAGGTTGAATAATGAAATTCTTAGTTTGGACTTAGGAAATCCACAAAAAAACTGGTGTTAAGTTGCAYTGCAGAGTAGTTAGTGTGTGGATCCAGACTGGAATGTGCTGCATGTCCACAGCAGCATTTACCCAAAACCTTGTCCATACACACTGCTGACTTCTCAGCCTACCTTGCCCCCTGTGTGTCTTGCACACGAGTCATTTTTGCCTCCAGCTGCATCTCTGTTAGCTGAGGCAAACACGTGAGTTAGTTCAGGGTTTCCATGTTTTCCTTAGGAATGGTGGATAACATGGTTCTTAGCCTGTAGAACAGCTACAGATGCTATTCACTTTTTAAATCCTACCATCCAGCTCTTCTGGGGCTTCTCAGCTCCTGAGCCAAACTGAACTGGTTGATTTGTACRATATATTAAACAGTCTGGCTTTATGACTACCACTGTCTCTTGCAGCAGTTAATGATTTCTGTATCTGTTACATGCTAAAAAATTGCTGAAAAACCATTSCAGCCTCCCCTGTAGTGATCACAGAGTGAGGCAATGCTGCAGTTTCCCCAGCAAACCCTGCTCTGTGTTTCTGTGTAATGAGGGGGAGCTGTTTGCACCCTTGGGCTCTGGGGACCTTGAAGAGGAACTTCACAATGCGGGAGGGGCACGTTGCTGCCTTGAAACCTTTAATGTGAGAACTGCTGCAGCTTTGAAGCAGATTGATCTCAGCTAGTTTTTCCTAACTTTGTATTATTTTAGTTGCAGTATCCGGTGTACTGGGATCACCTGGAGTTCTGTGATGGATTCAGGAAACTCTTAGACCACCTTCAGCTGGATAAAGTGAGTGCTAAAAGATGAGGAMGTGGACAAATTGCTGCAAAAAAACCCTGATGTTTGAAAGAGTCATTTAAGAGCCAGTGGGAAAAATAGGACACAAAAATACGGCCTATAAATAAAAGRGGCTGTGTTGCAATTTCACATAGAAACTAGTTTATTTTTGAAGGTGAATGCCCTTGGAAATTGTTGTACTTGGCCTAAATTCAACTGCTATTCCAGGCCTGTTAAATTGTATGGGTTAACTTCAGTTTTTTGTGAGATSCTGTGGAAGTTATCCTTCCTAACTCACATAACACAGAACACCACAGTTGAGTCTCTGGAACTGGAATAGCTACAGAGAACAAAGCGAAATGTTCAGGTTTTTTCTTAAGCTTGATGAACACAAAGAAATGTGCACTGTGAATCTGTGGGAAACATTTCCTTCTGTCACTATTTATCACATATTGCACATAAAACCAGGAGATGAATGGAACAGTGATTCTTTGAAAAAATGGGTTATGAGGACAAGATAAACTAGAATGACCTATTTTTGTAAAGAAACATTGTGCTCAGAGGTCATATTTCACAAGAGTAACATCATCTGTTTGTTTTCTTCTTTTCTCTTGCATTAGGTTCACCTTTTTGGAGCTTCTCTGGGAGGCTTTCTGGCTCAGAAGTTTGCTGAATACACACACAAATCTCCCAGAGTCCAGTCTCTGATCTTGTGTAATGCCTTTAGTGACACTTCTATTTTCAATCAGACGTGGACAGCAAACAGGTAAAGAAGGCTGAGACAAGCATATTCATGGCATTAATTTTTTTGCAATGAAATGTCACACTGATTAGTTGGATATGTGTCTAACCTGATTCCAGCCTGGGGGAGGAAGGTGTGGGATGGAATACTTGTGACTGTGAAAGGCACACCACAAGGAGAATGAAAATGTTAACAATTGAGAGTGTGGAATTAGACAAATTGTTCTGTGATCCTCGGTGGATGTGTGGTCAGATTTAAGAACTCTGCCTGCTGTCTAACAAAACCATTYAGAGCAAGAAGAGTATTGTTCATCATGTTTAAAATATATTCTTGCCATGTAAAACTAAAAGCTGCTGAGAGCATTTCAAACATCAAGCTGCCAGGTTTTCCATCTCTGTGCTTTTGAAGTTTCTTCAAGGATTTAATCTGAAGCTAAAGCACAAAGCCTATGTAAGGAAAGGGAGCATTTATAACACATCGTGACATTTGAGTCCTTGGTGCTTGAAAATACTGTTACATCTTGTTTCTGTTTTAGCTTTTGGTTGATGCCTGCTTTTATGCTGAAAAAAATTGTCCTTGGGAATTTTGCATCTGGTCCTCTAGATCCTGAAATGGCCGATGGGATTGATTTCATGGTGGACAGGGTAGGTAACTGTGATGGCTGTGGTGTCACTGTAGATTTACTGAGTGGGAGGTTGTAGATTTTTCTGCTTTCTTGATTCACTGACCCATGAGGGAGGAGTGAGAAGTGGATCTTTAGCAGATGTTGACTGTCACAGTCCCAGCAGTTGAACTGATGCACTGAGCCTCTCCTTAGTTCTGTTTATTGTGTCAGTCAAGAGAGGGAGTTAAGGAACTGAGGTGGAAAAGGAGAAAGTGCTGGGATAGATCTGTGAGCCATGCTYTGGGAGTGGGAGCTACTAATGGAACATGGTTTAAGCATTTGTGTTATGTATAATACTAAATTGGAATTGTAACCTTCATCCCTTTAAAACTMTCTTCTCTTTGGCTGTATTGTTAATATTGTATTAACTTCCTGCAGTGAAATATGTTGTTAATCAGTGTTTCTCTACTGCAAGCTCGAGAGCCTGGGCCAGAGTGAGCTTGCCTCAAGACTCACTCTCAACTGCCAGAACTCCTATGTAGAACCTCACAAAATCCGAGACATCCCTGTAACTATTATGGATGTAAGTGAATCTCTTTTTTTTTTTATTAAATGCTATCTCCTCCCCTTGGCAGGTGAGCTTTGATATTCTGTTAGCTGTAAGGTTTTGCAGCATGTAAGTTCCTATTTAGAGAAGCCTTCTGCTGCCTGGGCAGCMCTGTGCCTCATCAGTGCCACATTGTGGATCGGATATTCCCCGCAGTAACACAGCCATGTTTTAGTATCACAGYATTGGCTTTCTAGCTGCCCATGCCCAGGTTTGCTTGTTTTCTGTTTCATTAACACCATTCCACAAAGAAGCTGAGGGTCTCTTCYAGGAGCAGCATGCAGCCAGTCTGATGTAACAACACAATCTGAGGTTCAGAACTCACTGCTGGGACTTGTTCCGTAGGTGTTYGACCAAAGCGCTCTTTCGACGGAAGCAAAAGAAGAAATGTATAAACTTTACCCCAATGCTAGAAGAGCTCACCTCAAAACAGGAGGCAACTTCCCCTACCTCTGCAGGAGTGCTGAGGTCAACCTGTACATTCAAGTAAGTCCCTGAATTCARTCCATGAATGTGCCACAACAGCAGAAGGAAACTCCTGAGTATGCTTTTGTTTCTTGGCTTCSCTCAGTCTGTGTGCTCTGTGTGCTCTGGCTCTGAGGCTGCTGATACCAAAGGCAGGGCTGGGAGCAGCTGTGTCCACGCTGGGCAAACTTCRGGGGTTTTCTCTTGCTGAACTCCTGTACTCCACAGCCAAGGCTTCATCCTTACAAAATGTACTCAGAAGTAATGTTTATCTTTTACCAGAACACCTATTTCTGTGTTGTTTCCAATGTCCAACAGATCCATTTGCTGCAGTTCCACGGGACCCGCTATGCAGCCATTGATCCCTCYATGGTCAGTGCAGAAGAGCTGGAAGTCCAAAAGATCAGCCTTCACACCAGCAATGAGCAAGAAGAGCAGTAGGCTGGGGCTTGTCAGTGAAGTGGAGGCATTGGYTTGGTGGTCTTCCTGTGTACAATCAACTGTTCCCACTCTGCCTTTTCCCTTGTGTCAGCCGATGATCACTGTGTGATTCCAACAGGATCAGCAGTCGGTGAACTACCCGTGGACAGCAACCTCCAGCAGTTAATGGGATAGATCTSTTTAATTTTTAGTCTTTGGATTCAAGAAAGCATCTTTGAAGACTACACTTTTAAAAATAAAGACATTTTTTCTACCAAAGTCTTCACTATATCATGTTCTTAAGCAGAATGGTATTTCTTTTTATATTTTTCACTCGGCTGTATATATTATCACATGCAGATTGTGTACTTATAAGCTGACATATATTTTTGTTGAATATTTGATTTAAAAGGTGTTTAAGTGTCAATGTTGCCATCACTTACTTGCTTCGTACGTTGTGTTGTAAGTTAGTTTGTTTCTACTTGAAATAAAGCATTTGAATTTTTAACTTTCTTGCTGCTTAAAAATGGTTTTCAATAAAACTTCACTTTCAGCAAGTGTCTCTTGTTTTGACTCCAAGAGAACAGCAGCTGAGCTCACTGCAATCCTGGTTTGCCTCTACAGATACCTCTGGAAATGAAGAAAACCACCACCTTCTCCTTGAATTCCCCTCAAACTTTTTAACTTTAACAGTGTACTGGTTTAGAGCTAAGAATGCTGTMGTGTTTTTTCAATAAAGATGACAAGATATAACTTGCAACTTTAAAGGGTAAAATCTAGATTTATTGAAATACAAACATMATTTTCCCCTTGAGCTGCTGTAAAAAATAAATATGAAGGATTACAGGTCAAATTGGGATGTAAAGAAATGATGTCTTTGTCAGAGGCTTTGTAGATAACTAATCTCTTGAAAAGATGGTTTGAAAAGGTTAGWCACCTATTTGATTTATAAACAGTATATGTTAATGTTACATTTATAAATGGTATATGTTCACGTCTCAAACTTTTTGCAACAAGTCAGAGCATTAAAGATCACAGCCTCTTAAGGTTCCAAAAGGACCAAATAGTTGCTTTGATTTTGCTTAAGGTCTCCTCTTATGGTGGGAATTTATGGGCACACCTAAGACATAAGTGACAGACACCCCCCCACAAATAAGGTAAGTAAAGAACATTCCTGAAAACAAAGGCTTTGCCCTCAATAACTTACAAACTTGACAAATAAAGATTTATATACAAAAATGTACTGTAGACAAGTTACAGTAAAACTAAGATTTCCTGATGCAGTATGACAAGTGAGGGTCACTCACCAAATTCTCATTACAGTACCCAGACCATATGAAATYGCTGATAAAAATCTCTTCTGTGTAGAAGTATTTGTGACCATGAGTATTTGTTTTACCGTTGTCATCCCCTGCAGGATGCAGCTGTTTGTGACAGAAGCCCTTAGGTTGCATCTGCCTTCTCTCAGCAGGAGTGTTTCTCTTGTAGCTCCGAGTCCAGCTGAGGATGTGCCTGGTGTCACATTGCTGWGCACTTCCGTGGAGATGTGGGGTCTGCGTTGGCTTTTTTCCGGATGCTTTCTGTAAAAGAATCATCTGCTGCATAGACATACAAAGCCATGGCAGGATCTGTTCATTTGTCAAACTTYAGAGAAAGACATTACATGTAATGGAAGCAAGGGGGCAGAGCAGGTGCTTTCAGCTTGCACAAAGTGGCTTCACTGAAGTTTTCCTCTGTGTTATGTTGTCTAACCACAGCATTTGGGTCAATTGATTCAAATAATGTTCAGTGTGCATTATTTGAAGGAAGACAAAAGCATTACCTGCTAAATCTCTTCTCCCGATGYCCACCAGGCCTTCATACAGTCCCTTGATTGGATTTTCTCCTGCAGTGATCACACCATGAAGCCAGATCAGCAACATTCTGTGGCCGTGTTCCCTGTAGCTCTTMGTGCCTGGCAAGATCAAAGCACAGATGAAATCCCACACTCGGGGTGTACAAYTCTGACCAGAGTGGATTTCTGCACTGGTGGGTTTCACACCCCTCCCTCCTCTCTAGATTTTACTAGGAGGCTCTAAAGTATGGTTTTAATTCCTGGTTGTGATGTGATTGCTGGATTTGTGGAACTTAATGGAGTGGCCGTGGATAAGCTTGGGTTTGTTGCACAGCCTYTCATGGCAATACAGTTTCTGTCTTCAGAGAACAGCTTGGCCTCTTGCTCATGTCAACCAAACTACAGAGTCCTTACAACAGCCAAACCAGCACTGATCTGTTTCTGACCCTCAGACCCTGCTTCTGCTAATGGATCTATTAAATTATAAAGAATTCACTGCCTTCTTGGTTCTTAAAAAAGTAAAACCAGCAAGTTTCTTCTTTCTGTAGAACAAGAATTGTACAAGAACTCACAGGCCTGGCAAGGGTTTCATAAGGAGTGAGCAATGAACCACTAATTTCCCTGCTTGCATGCTTTATTCCTAGATAAATTCCAGTGTGGAGGTAATTCCACATTCAGCAAAACCAGAATTTTTAACCTCATCTTTTGSTGGATTAAAATAAACCAACTGGTTTTCTTCACGCTTTGCTCTCATTGCAGCTTTATCTCCCAGAAACACASTCCAAAGGAAGAAAGGAAAATACCYGRGAAGTTTTTTTATACCTGTCCACTGTTGCTCAATGGCCCTAATGTGGTCATCCGTGAATTTCCAGTATTGTGCCAGCTTCTTCCATTCCCCGGGCTTGAGGTACTTGGTGGCTAATCTCCACATGACTGAGCGAATGTGCTGTGTCTCCAGCCTGTGATCCTGCTTGAACGTCAAGTGCTTGGCCACCCCCGAGTTGGAGTCGCTGTTCAGGTTGTCCTGCAAAGCCAGAACAGGGGGTTCATGGGGAGCTGCAGCAGTGCCTGTCCTTCTGCAGCCTCCCACATGTGCGGGTTTTGTTCTTATCTTTATTCTCATTTCACTCTGTGCTAATCAGGGTTGGAACTCCCATTAATGGTCACTTTGCAGTGGAAGCCCATGCAGATCACGATTYTGCATTTCTCCATTGCCTTTTATCTGGGGTTTGGTGCAGAATCATTTAATTAAATCTCCTGCTTCTCTGCAACATCAGCTCGTGCTCACAGCCCTTACATGCCAGGCTGCAAAAAGGCTGAATGGGAATCCAGTGCAAGGGCCTGACACACAGAGCCTGACTCCTGAAGTGGCACCAGAGCCACAGGTACGTGCCCTCCTTTCCTTCCTTTTTTTCCTGCTCTAAGGGACTGGCATGGGAAGATGTCCAAGATCTTAAGAACAYGCAGAGGATGTGACATTTGGTTGTACTTCCAGATCACTCTGCTCAGCTTGGTTTGGGCATAGGCTTGGGTTTCAGAGGGGACACAGGCTAAGARGCTGCACTTGGAGGGGTAAGTTGGCTGAATGACTCCAACAAGAGCTRTCTCCTTCCACTGCTGAAAAACTCTCAAAATCCCATTTGGTGACCTTGGGCCAAGCATTTTCCCTCTCAGTCCTTCAGTTTCTCCTTCTGGGAAAAGGAACTAATTCTATCCCTTTGGGAACAGCTGTTAAATAATTTTTGAAAACCCCTATTCCCATGAGTGCAGCCTGGGATTTCTWACAACAGAGGACTTTTTAAATAAGGAAAGCCTTAAGTAGATGCTGTTGGCATGGTGAGGACTTCTGTTTTCCTTAAGTAAGGGGATGAAAATAGAGGTCAGGCTGTCATGGGATGTCCTGTATTTCTTTTCCTTTGACAGCTGGTATCTGGAGTCTTGCTGGGGAGGAGAAAGCATGGGGGCTGTTGTGTAAGCTGCTCACCTTCTCCCATTTGTAAAATCGATCAGCTTTGATAATCATGTCTGCCAAGTTGATGTGATTGCCTCGGGCAGCGACATCCAGAGATGTTTTCCCTTGCTGAAATTAGAAAGGGAAAACAAGCTGGAAAAGACTTTGCAACTTAGGAGGTACAATCTCCATGCCCACCCAGCACCTGCAGCAGCAGGAACATGGACTGTTGAGTCCARTGAACCCAGCCAGGACCTATTCTCCACCTGTGAACAACTCAGATGTGAGTTGGCATCAAGCTCCTGTGTTCAGGGTATGGGGAGTGGTTTTCCAGGCCCTGCAGCATCTCTTCTGTTGCTACAAGGGATCTGCCCTTTTTGCAAGTGCCATTGGAAAAGCTTCCTGCAACCCACCAACATGGGAGCAGTCATCAGAGGACCAGCTCAGCTCTGCAATCCAAGGTATTTTATAGCCTTTCGCACAGCAGGTTTGCTGACACATGAAACCAAAGTGATTTATACAAATTCATTAACTTTATAGGCTCCAGATACACATGATTAGAAATGGTCTCCTAGGAGAACTACAGGCTGATGGGACTATGAAAATGTGACTAGGTTCCTTTCATGAATATGATTTTGGATTGGGCGGGGCAGATTCGTATTTCTAAAATCATAAAGCAGACAAGAATAAGATTTGAAATCTCCATGAAGGACAGCGAGTCAGCTCACGCAYACCAGGAAGAACAGTTCTAGCCTCAGATGTGAGCAGAAACCAAACTGCACACAGAGAAGTGTGAAATGTGTCAGCTGTGCTGAGTGTCACTGCAGTTCCACAGAGTGCTGCAAGGTGGTGAACATATTCCACAGCTGAAGGCCAGTTCAGCCAGGTGGCTTCAGGTCTGCACTTGCTCTAAACCACTGCAAATGGCAAACACTATTTTAATCTCTGCCCAAGGCCCTCCAGCATTTTCTGGGCACAAACTATATTTTTCAGGCCACTTACAATTTACCTGATTCCTCTAAAATTTGTTCTGTTGATTTTATTATATGGCAAAAGACGTAGAACCACACCAGATCTAYATCAAATATATCCTTTCAACCTATTAAATGTGTGCTGTAATTATTGACGCATATTATTTATCATTGTTTGTGGAAATCTTTGACATTACTGTGCATGGTAGCTAGAACAACTTTGAGAAGGAAAATGTTCATTGTGTGAACTGTCTTCTACCTGTCTAAGAACCAGTCACTTCTTTCCTGGTAAACATATCAAAATAACCTACTTAGCAGCCTTTTAAGGCCTTATCCCTGGAAATAKCCAGTTTTTACTATTACTAGCCTTCCTTGAAAATTATGAAAAACAGTGACAAAGTCCATCTTATCTATATTTTCCCTCCATACTTGCACAGAACCTGTTTCACMCATGGAGACCTTTACCTTGTCTGTTAGCTTCAGATTAACTCCTGCAATGAGAATCATCTCAGCAATGTCCTGCCTGCCGTGCTCTGCAGCGATGTGGAGTGAGGTCTGCTGCCTCTGCAGAAGGAGGGAGAAAGGACCACACTTCAGAGAAGGACAAATGTGAGGCTGAAAGGACAGAATACYAGAAGGAGGAACCTTGGGACTATTTAACGGAAACTAGTAAAATCAAACATARAATGTGTCAATTTTATGGTATCATCAGGAGAGAACATTGCTACAAGAATGAAGATTAACCRAAACAAGCCACACAAAGGCCCTTGTTCAGAAAATTACAATTRGGTGAGACAACCAGATACCTCCATGCTTGCCTCCCATTTGCAGCCCTCCAAACATTTTGAAGAATATCTTTCATCTTGAAATTTTTCCTACCTGCTTCCAGCAAGGAGGAGAGCCTGACCATGCAATGTTGCAGGGGACACAGCATAGCCCTCGTATTGAATGCCATCAAGCCATTACCTCACTACAATACTCAGAATAATTTCACAGGTTTCACATTTCCTAAGCTGCACTTCCAGGTTTTCCACATTTTAAAGCACTCTTCTTTAACCCTGTCCCCAAGGTAATAAAATCTCCCATGAAACTGGTTCACATTTCAAAGACAAAGAACAGGAGCTGCAGTCTTACATTATCTRGAATGTCAAGGTCACACTCTGCATTGATGAAGAGCTTCACCATGGCTGGGAAGTTCTGCAGCACTGCGATGTGTGTTGCTGATGTATTTTGCTGTGGAAAGAAGATCCTGCACTTAGGGAGAGCTTGGCTCTTAGCACTAAAAGGACCATTGTGTGCCCAGCATGTCCTATAACAGCTGCCAGTCTGCACTAGGGGCTGATGGAGATATTGCAGCTCTGGTCCTTCCAGAGTTRCTTTGTGCTCTTGAGCAGCTCCACCTTTTTGTTAGTGGTAAGAGCACTGAGGGAGACTTACATGATTGAGAGCATTCATGCGGATTCCTGCATCCATGAGGATCCTGGCTATCTCCTCATAGCCATGCAGTGCTGCATAATGAAGGCAGTTCATCTTTTTCTGAGAAGCAAGTCAGAAGAGAGGAGTGTTACTCAGGGATTCTTTCCAGAGGCTGCAGTTGTTACAGGCTGTCCACAGAGAGCTCCCTGCTCCCTCCTGCAAGAGTCCAATGGCTCTTCACTGACAAATTCATGGCGATTGTCTCCACAGCCAAACTAATCCTAGAGATCTTCACCTGCCTCTTTGTACAAAACCACGTTTACCTTCCTCTAAACTCCCTGTGCTATTCCTGAATGCAGGGCTCCACACGTGCTCTCTTGATAACAGCTGACCTGGGAAACCACAGGTCTGGGCATAAATCCACAAAGTAGGGTTTGGGAATGGAATCACCTCCATGGAGCTCACCTGGGTTTGGGCATTGACATCAGCACCTGCTTCCACGAGCAGCCTCACACAGTGGCTGTGTCCCCCCTCAGCAGCGAGGTGCAGAGCCGTGAGTCCTTCCTGCACAAGGCAAGAAAGGACACAAGCAGCATTTCTGTAGACAAAGCCAAGGCAGAGCAGCAGAATCAGTCAGACTCTTCCCTATCTTCTCAACCCGTGACATGTTACAGTACCAGTTCTGAGGACCAGGGATCTCCAACAGATTGTTAGGAAAACAGAGGACACAATTTTCTGCCGCAGACATACCAGAGTACTGCTCTGTCCTGAATGTCACTGGCTRTGGGCCACAAGACAGACATTGTGTTCACCATCTTTCCACCCCTCTAGCCCATCAATAAACTAAAAAGGATTTCACATGGACAGTGAAGACAAAYCATTTTCCTGGAATAGCCCAGAGACAGAACTGGAAACCTATGACCCTCAATCACCRCTTTTCCCTTCTGAAGGTTGCAGCTCATTTCATTACCAGAAAACAGAAGCAAGCAGAATTCCTAAGTGATTTAATCTGGTTTCATTATTGCTCTTTGCACAAAGGGCAGCTCATCTGGGTGGGTGACAAATGCTACCTGTTACCACAGAAGGTGGCTTCCCCTTTCCTTCATATCTTAATCACAATCAAATACACTTTTCAAAGATGGTAACCAAATAAGACTTAAAAAAATGTTGATAAACTTAACTGGGAGTGTGCCCTAGAATAAATAACAGCTATACTARGCCAATATTTGCTATCTAAATCATTAACTGTGTTCCAGCCACATAATTTTCCAGAGCAGATCTATCAAAAGAGAGATCTCAAACAGAAGGTCCATATGTTCAATGACTAAGTCAATACTTTAAAGCACAGTGAAGTTTAGTTTGAAACACACTCAATAACCATTTAGGCACTTGAATGTACAAGGGTCAGGGAGAGAAAGGGAGATTAAATGGAGTGGTAGGGTAGGTGAGCAGATACAGCAGGAAGAGAAGGCAACACTTTAACGCTGGAAATTGGTCCAAGACAGATGTGGCCTTTCATCGACACTCTGCAAGCATGACCTGCATTTACCCATGCAGGCTTTAGATAAAATCAGCTATTTTCTAGATCTCTCCTGTCAATACTGAGTTTTCAGCCTGACGATTGTGGCAGAAGAGTATTTCTAGGGAGAAAAAGGGCAAAACTGATGTGGTTTTGATTTAATTGAAATGTACTTACTGAGTTTTTTTCATCAAGGTCCACTCCGACATCTATAATCTTCTCCAGCACAGAGAGGTGTCCATTTTTAGCAGCTAAATGCAATGCTGTATTTTCTTCCTGAAAGTAAACATTACTTTATAAATATATGTCTCACAGGACTGAGTGTTCATACACCACAACCTTGCACAGAGTATATCCAGCGTGGCTGAGAAGGAGGYTGTAACCAGTAGCAGGGATCTAATCTTCCTGCAGTTACAGCAGGGAAGGAAGAAGCCCAACTACCTTAAAGTGGARCATGGTCCATCAAGGTTGCTGTGTATTCTGCCTGAAAAGTCCTGGAGAGAAATCATGGGCTGAGCAAGCAAATRGCTTGAAGTGGACAGGGAAGAAAAGCCCTGGCATACAATAGCCATAGTTACAACTGTGGACAACTTGCCCGCATGAGCCTCAYTTGGCATCCTGTTCCCTGGTTTTTACATCCCCTAATCTGTGGATTTCACCTCCCTTGCAYGTGGTTTTGTGCCTGTACCTTGTCTTTGGCACTGTGAGAACAACCCAGTCGAATGAGGAACTCCACCACCTCCGGATGCCCGTACTCTGCGGCCAGGTGAAAYGCTGTCCTGTCCATCTTTGAAAGGAAACAGAGAAGCACAGTCCAAAAGGTTCAGAAAGCACAGCATCAGATCATCTGCTGCAAGAAGCTTGACCAGAGCCAGAATCCTCATCATCCCCAAGCTCACTCTGCAGGAAGACTTCTGGGATTAGCATCTGACTCTGATTCTCTTCCCAAGACCAAGGGCAACATTCCTGCTAAGCTCAGCAAAGCAAGACCAGACCTCATGAAACAAAGCCATGAAAAGCATTCCTACCTTGTCTGTCTCATCCATGTAAACATCCTCCAAGTCCTCCATGATGAACTCCACAACCTGGATGTGTCCCCTCTGAGCTGCACAATGGAGCAGGTTCCTGCCACTCTGGAGAGGAGATAAAGGACTGCTCATTTAACAAGTAAGTCCAAGASGGTGGGACAGTCAGTCTCTTTTGACAACCTGTTCCTGTTAGCAGAGATCCATTTCATCCCTCCCTGCACCTGTAGGTRCAGACAGCAAGTTATGACTGAAGTATTAATACTCCTTTTCCCAAACAAGGTCTGGTCATTTACCAAACCCATTTCCCATTTCTGTAACATCTTTCCTCCCACCAGCACTGCACAAACGTGAGCTGAAGAAGCTGTGTGCATCTCTGTCTAGAGCCAAGTGATGGATCCACATAGGGAGACCCTCACCCTATTGACACGGKTAATCTTGGCCCCAGCATTGACGAGGATCTGCAGGACTCGCAGGTGGCCAAACCAGGCAGACAGGAGAAGAGCACTCATTCCAAACTGGGCAAAAAGGAGAGAGACTTACTGTTAAAGTGCAGCAATAAACATCCCCAGAGTACTGCTTTTCCCGGAGGAAAGCTAGCCCCTTAGCTTCATAAAGTTTCCCAAATCTATTTGTTTCTCACTGTTTTTTAGCTGCACTTTCTCCAATTATTATTATTCCTCTCACAGATATTCGCAGCAGCTGAACAAAGACACCCCTCTTGACAGCTGCTTCCTATTTAATTATGTGTATTAGCCTGGTTGTATGGGGGAGAGAAAACTTGTTGGCTGTCACTGCCRTCCCACAAGCCCCCCATCAATACAACCAGAAGAAGCCAAGCATCATCATGCACTACAGACAACTTCACAGGTTTTAYCAGCCTACTCCAAATCACTGTGCAGGCAAGCTAAAAGCCAAAATAGGGAGCACAGACACACGTGCAAACAAGGCTTGTTCCAGCCCCTGGCTCAGCAGGTGCAGTGTGCAACCCTGTATCACCCACCCACCCAGGGCTAAGATGCAGTCCAGAACTGCAGGACTAGCACCCAGTCCCTGGTGCTCCCCGAACACCAAACACATCTGCAGCACATGCAAGGGGGAGTCGCCTTTGTACACTGTCTTCATCATCCACAGGGACATCGTGATCCAGGAGCAGTCGCACAGCATCCACATTCCCTGCTCCCACAGCCCAGTGCAGGGCACTCCGCTCCGTCTGGAAGGGAAGGACAGAGACAGGSAAGGCTGATGWATGCAGTGTGTGTGTGTATCCACCAGCCTTGCTTAAGGTCAAAATATCCYTGGCCATCTATGGAGCCTGAATTTYKCACACTGTGCAGGGTTTTCTTTGGACACATCCCTCTGTTCCCCTGTCATGCAGACAGGTGTTAGTCACCTTCCAGTCAGGAACTGCAGTTCTGGACCATAATAACACAGGAGTGAAGAACCTTGCTGACCATCARTGGACAGACAAACAGGGTAATAATACTGGGGGGCTCTGTGTGTTGTGAAAATTGCTTGGGTGCCACAGGCCCGATTTGGCACTGGCTGGTGTATTTTAAAGCTTTGACAAATTAAGCACCAATGAGAAGAGTTGCATTAAGGAGCTGCAGTTCTGAAATGCACCCTCAGCACTTCCTGCAGCTTAGGGGTGGAAAAACCCAGGACTTACATTGTTTTTGGCTTTGATGTCAACTCCTCTCCTGATGAGTTCCTCCATTCTGGCTATGTCGTTTCGCTTCGCTGCATCATGGAACTCCTTCTCTGACTGAAGCACTGCAGCAGAGCAGAAGAGTGAGCATTAAAACAGGGTTGCCAAGTAGCATGGTGCAGCATGCCCCAACAAACCTCCCCTTCATCTCACCGGCCCCCATGGCCTCAGTGAAAGATGACTGCAGAAAGATTCTTCCAGCAAGGATCCCAGCCCCACAGATGTTGGCAGTTTGATGGATTTATTTTCTCCCMCAGTCTCTCCTTCCCTGACTATCCCTGTGCCACATTAGTGTTCTTCCAGTCCTACCTACTTCTCTTCTCATGGACTTGCTCCAGCTGYAAAACCTTTTGATCCATGAGGTCCATGTCATCTGGACACATTCTAAGACCCAGAATCAGTGTGAAGGCTCTGAGAGATGACACAGACCCTCTCTTCCATCCTTCCACCTACATCCCACTGCTCTACAGGAGGTCTTTACACATGGTCCCCCTCCAGGCAACCTGAACCAGCCAAGCAGTACAAAACTGCCAGCCTGGCCTGTGACTAGTGTTGCATCTCTTAATAAACCGGGCAGTTCTGCACATAATTTACCATGACTGGCAGTATTTGTCCTGCACAGTTAGGCATGATTTAAGAGTGTTTACTCTCCACACTGGGCCTTGCCCCAGCAATCTTCTCCTTGAKCGAATAAACCTTCCTGCCAAGAAACAAGAGCAAGGCTGTGACGGACACAGCCTGACAGGGAGGCTCCGAAGACTTTTGGCAAGGCTGATGTCAGTGTTTCTTGGACTCAGTCTCTGTCTAGTGCTTCTGGGGAATTGTTTCAAGAAGTGCTTGAATCAGACCCCTGGCCTTTCACATGCCACTGGAGAGCTGGCCCAGAGGCTCTGCTCTCTTCTACACTTCTGCAGAGCTCAGGCTGTAGTTTGAGGGGCTCAGTGCAACTTCAGTTTGTTCCAACATATCAACTGCATACWAATCACGTGCCATGCAAAAAGCATCAAAACATATTATTGTTCCCATTCCACCACACTGAGGGAGACAAACAGGAGACTTGCTGCCTAAATAGCACTATTAATCAGCACAGAAGAAAGGCATCCCTACTGTGGACTCTGAGAGCGACAGAGGTACAATGTCATCCTCCAGTTTTCCATTCCCCTTACCTTCAAACAWAAAAACTTTAGCTCAAGAAAAACACTAATAACACGAATTTTAATGCTAGGCAGGTCACTCAACAGTGTGTTTGTCTACTTAACACCAGACATGGTCATCTATGAGTTTRTATTCAAGAGYRCCATAAACTTSCTGCTASAATGAAGGCAGTAGGATTTGGCAYTGATTTCTGCAGAAACAGGATTTCCTATACTGCACATTAAGACTCTGCTATCACCTGATCAGGTGTGTTAACAGGATTGCATTTCACTCCATGTGGACCCTTCATTTGAGAGGAAATATCAGGAGAACTTGTGAAAAACATAYTGAGTTTTTGTTAATGATTGACACCAGTGGTGACACACATACCACCTCCCTGTAAATGCTTATCTCCGTTCAGTGGAGTAAATCCTATGTTTCAATTGAGCAAATACTGCTGCCCCTGCTCGCCAGGTGACAGAAACATGTTCTTACATTTTATGGTCACAAATCATCGGTGAGAGATGYCAAACAACCCCTTGACTTATTTAATCTTTCCACAACCTATGAACATGCAGTAACAAACCTGGCATCGCTAAGACCAGAGGAGCCGCAATTTATTTATTTCCAGCAACACATGAGTATCAGTTTGATGGTCTGAGTCTCTGATTTAAAATTCACAGCCTCTCTCTAAGTGCAAATGTGCTCCTCATCATGGCATGCACCGGTCCAACAGCAACATTTCAGCGGGTATTCAGCAATTTCCCTTCTCTTTCAAGCTCAAGTTCCAGGGTATTTCACAGTTGGTGTTACTGCATAGGAATTCAGTTATCCCAAACAGCGTGGAAAACATTTTAAATTATTTACCCTCAGTGCAATGCACCAACTCACAGGCAGTTTATTATGCAAGAGATGTAGAAAAGCAGCAAAGGAGGTGAAAGACATGCAAAGGAACGTGCAAAAACCATCCACTGGGCTCTACCTGGGGCTGCGGGACACAAAGACAACCCGGGATGGGGCCCGGGGAACCGAGGGAGCCAAAACCCCCAAGTGCGAGAGGTACCAAAGTTATGTGCATCATCCCAGGGGTACAGGATGCTTTGGGGCAGCAGCAGTCTTGATTCGTGGGTAGGTTTATACACCTGCTTTGTTCCCGAGCGGATTTTCACGTGCCCGGTTATTCTTTAGAGCATCTCGGTTTGCCCCTCACCCCCGCCACACGAATTCCCCCTCACGGCGCTGCATTCCCCACCCCGCCGGGGCAGCCCCGCCTCGGCCTCACTCACGGGTGTCGCCGTCCGATGCCAAATCGTCGCCCATGTCGCGACAGAGAGGGCCGGCGCTGCCGCCTCGGGGCGGGCTCAGGCGCGTCCCCGCCGCCTCGGGGCGGGCTCAGGCGCGTCCCCGCCGCCTCGGGGCGGGCTGACAGGCGCGTCCCCGCCGCCTCGGGGCGGGCTCAGGCGCGTCCCCGCCTCCATCTCGCCGCCGCACAGCTGCTCTTTTGCTGCTCTTTAAAGCAAACGATCATGAAATAAAGCCCATTTTCCGACAAAGACGCTGTTTTCGGGCCGTTTGGGGATGACTAGAGGGGGGACATCGAGCTGCCGCCACTTGGGCCAGGTGCCGCCCTTCACCTCAGCGCGGGGCTGCTGAGTGCTGCTGCTTCCAGGTGGTGGGTGGTTTAATTTAAAATTAATTTAATTCTTTTTACAAAGCGATTTGGGAAGAGAGGATTTCTAATCAGTAGGAAATACGGGGGGTTGTTTTCTGTTTTGGTTTTTTTTTGTTTTTCCTGAAAGTGGGGCTCAGTGTTTGGTGTTTCCAAGGAATGAGGTGCTCTTATTATTACCCGGCCCTCAGCAGGTGCAGGAGGGGGCAAAACGGTTTTCCCCTCAGAATTTTAGTGAATTCTCTGGTTTCAGCGTCTGGGGCTGGTTTTGTCCTTTATTTTCTTATCTATGTTGATAGTATGATAAGGAAGGAACCAGGCTGAGCTGAGGCTGGGGGGGGAGAATCAGATSTGTTTCTGTGGGTCCCCCACAGGACTCTTCCCCTGGAACACTTCCTCCAGCTCTAGGACTGCCCAACATCAGGAGAATGTGGAGCCGCTGGAGCCAGTCCAGAGCAGACCATGGAGATGCTCCAAGGGTTGGAGCCCCTCTGCTCTGGAGCCAGGCTGGGAGAGCTGGGGCTGTTCACCTGGAGAAGGGACGGCTCTTGGGAGACTATAAAGCCCCTTCCAGTGCCTAAAGGGGCCTCCAGGAGAGCTGGATAGGACTTGGGACACGGGATGTAGGGACAGGACAAAGGGGAATTACTCCCCACTGACAGAGGGCAGGGTTACATGGGATATTGGGGAGTTCTTCCTTGTGAGGGTGGGGAGACCCTGGCACAGGTTACCCAGAGAAGCTGTGGCTGCCTGATCCCTAGAAGCGTCCAAGGCCAGGYTGGATGGGGTTTGGAGCAACCCGGGTTATTCCAAAGGTGTCCCCTGCCCATGGAAAGTGAAGCCTCCCTTAAGGTCCTTTCCAGCTCCGACCATTCTGTGACTCTTTGCCGCTGGTCTCAGGATGGGAGAGGTGACATAAGGTTTGTATTCCYTCCCTGGACCATGCTGGCCCACAGATGGGGGCCTTGTTAGGACTCCCTGGAAAAGTCCCCCTGGAGAGGTCTGTCTGCATCTCCGATTTTGGCTGTGATCTCACTCTGATGCCTGTCACCACATGAGGGTGCCAGTGCTGTTCACCTGCCACCATTTCCTGCTCCAGCAATAAACTCCCGGGTGTAGATGGGGCTGTTCCCTGGGCTCTGGGCCGTTTTGGGGTACATCCAGGTCTCAGGGAGCCTTGTGTKAGTCCGTGCTGCTCCCGTGAGAGAGTGTGGGGCATTTGGTGTGGTGGGAGATGGGGGGAGGCAGGCGATGTCTTCGGGGTATACAGAGATGCAGAACACCCTCTGCTTCTCCAAACATGTTCCTCTGTGGGCACAGCTACACCAGAACTTTCTTCAGGGCAGGGAGACGCTGGTTTGCACCTCATTGAAACCCATCACCGAGGGATTCAGCAACCAAGTGCTCACTGATGCAGTTAGACAACCATGGCTTGGCCTGGCCAGCTGTGAAATGGGGAGGTGGACCCTAAGCTCATGAGCAAACACAGAATGTGTGGGGGTTTATGGATAGCTGCTGCTCTCAGAGATTTGGATTTGTGTTTTGTTTGCCTTCTATTCAAATTGAAGTAAAAAAAAAAAAAAAAAGGAGACACTGTCTCTGGTAGGAAAAGCGAACATAAGGTCGGTCTGGATTAAGGGGAAGCCCTTCTTTTGTACAACAGCTTAGTGGGTAGAGCATCCTCCCTGAGGAAAGGGGAAAGCTGGGTTTGATCCTTGTTTCTGCCGGAGGGGAGATGCAAACCTCGGGCCACACAAGACCCCAGAGAGCACTGTAAACAACAGGCTGCAAGCATGTCTGGTCAGAGAGTTTTTCTTGCTCTTTCCTGTTATTTTAAATAATTGATGATTTGATGGAGCAGGGAGTGGAGAAGGCAGGTGTCCSGTCTCCCCGGAGAGCAGTCTGTGCACCCGGCAAGACAGAGTCTTGCTCTTTCTCGATGAATATTTAAGTGTCTTCAGACAAACTGGAACGGTGCCAGCAGGAATGACTGAGAAGGGCTGAGCCCTTCCCACTGGGTATCCTAGTGCCTGGGGGCTGGGGAAAGAGCCCTGAATAGGGCAGGGAATAATCCCTGCTTGCACAGACTATGGAGGTATCATCCATCCCAGCCTTAGGTGGGACCTCTGGCTCTTGCTAGCCTTTTGTTATACTGTAAGAAATCCTTGGATGGAAAGTGGTCTGGATTKAACCTGCCACTGTTAATGTCATTGTCTTCCAGAGCTTGGATCAGCCAGGACTCATCACCCACGGCTTCTRTGCTGATCTCGGAGGAGAAATAGCGCAGATGCACTGACAGTTCGCATCTGTTTGTGAGCTTAGATGTTTCCAGCAGGCAGGGAAAAAGGCGATGTAGGCAGTTCCTTCTGTTCTTCCCGAAGTGGTATGTGTTCAGGGSTGGAAGGGACCAAGACTTTCTGCTGATACTAAGTAGAGAATGCTGCGACGATTTGTTAATGACACTGAACATTTTCCTAGCAATCCATTTATTAGCTTACAGACCTAAAAGAGCTTTTGGATTTTTCCACTAATGTAGCATAAAGAATGACAGAGGGAGGTGGTAATTTGAGCCCTTTTTGCAATATATTCCAGACATTGACCCCATCTTCAGAATGGTGTTAAAGTCTTCAACTTTATTTCACTTGAAGAAKAATTTTAGCTGAGCCAGCTATGTGCTCTTTCTTACTTAGAAGTGAAGCTCTCTGACAGAGCATTTTGTACTCTTATCTTGCATGTACAGTTCTTATGTACTGCTTTAGGATAATCACTRTTTTCAATCACCTTCAAAAATCATGAGCCAGGCTGCTTGAATCCAAGTAATTTTAAAATGTGCCTCTGTTAGCTCCCTGGTTTAGTTGTATACACTGTGATTTTCAAGCCAGTCAGATTTGCAGTTAGCCRTGTAATACAGCCCACAAACCAGTATGTGTTTATGCAGAAACAGTTGCTTACCTAGAGGTTTAGCAAATTGGACYTTAATTTATAATCTTCCTTTGGAAGCAAAAGTGGAAGGTGACTCCTCCTGCCTGCAGCTGCCTGTAGTTTGGGAAGCCAAGTCTCTGCTTCCCTGGAGCTGCCCACAGCRGGGGAGCCGGGCTTGARCAGCCTCCATCCTTGGAGGATTGTCTTTTCTGGCATGTGCTGCCAGACAGGAAATTGGATATTGCATGGGAGAGGGGTTGACCACGTTCCTCTTTCAGTGCTGATGGACTGTTTTTACATGACAGGCTGTCAAACAGCCCAGTGTGCTGAGATAGCAACCGAACCAAATCTTTGGGCACTGTGGTACACGGCTGCCATTGATGCYGTGAGGAATTTTATGTTTGTGGTGCTTCACATCCCTGCTGTGGGTATRTGAAAGGGACCAACCATGCCAGTTCTGTGCCCTGGCTTGCACACTGCTCTTTCAGATATGTGGCATTAGAATGGAGTACACGTTACAGCTCTGGCTACATGGCTTCATGTGTGGCTCCAGCTTGTTTATTTTTTGTCTGGGTTTGGCTTTTAGTTGTTTTGTGACTAGGTTATTTTTGGTGCTTTCTTTGATAACTGTTCCTGTGACACGCTGCAGAACCAGAACTCCTCTGGGAACAGCCCAGCAATGCACACAAACATCAGCCCTGTAGCTTCTAACATTCAACATATGGAGCTTTTAGAAGGCCTGAACACCTAACGGGACTCCACAAACCCACTCTGGAAGCCTGAGAAAGGTTCCAGCAGTTTCCTCAAAGGCTGCATTCATTTCCTTGCAAGGCTTCCACAGAGGAACAGCTTGTTAGAGGGACCTGTGGAGCTTGGARGCTTTGCCAATAATAATTCAGGCCCAATTCTGAAGTCAAATATTTAGCTAAACAGAGACTGTCTGATGACTGGATTAAACACAGACTGCATCTGAGTGAGTTTGATACTTCAGTTTTTTGTCAGTGTCCATTTCACGAGCCTATAATTCCATTTTTCCTGTCTTCCCAGACTTTGCTCATCCTGTGTAGTGTTTCAGACACACAGAATGAGGTATTTCAGCAGAGCTGTTGCTCCTAACTCAGGGAGCAGCCTGAATCACAAAGTGATGTTCTTTGCTTTAGGCTGAGGAATAATCCAGTATTATGGGATTGGGAGGAAAGCACATTAGAGAAACTGAAGAGTTTGTTGGGTTTGTTTGTTGGTAAGAAAAAGTCTCAGGCAGAGATGTCAGAGAGGGTTGGTGAGTGAGTCTGGCCACTGTACTACATGTGCTGACTGACACAGCTCAGTCCATATTWACAGCAACTGGAAGTTTCAGCTGGTGATTTGGCACTTCCCTCTCCTGTTACTCTCACTTCCCAAAGCCAACAGGCCTTTAAATCCCTTGTAAAGATAAATGAGCTTAAGCTTCTATGTAGCTTTGAAAGTGAGGCTTACATGTAATTAGCAGTGTGGCAGGGTTGTTCTGATGGTCAGAGCACTCCTGTAGATCCCTGACCTCCACAGAGCTTACTGACATGAGTCCACTGCATCTTCCAATTCAGTCTATTCTTCTGCCAGCTGTGGAGAATTGGGCTCACATCTATCCTGCAGGAATACATGAGAGGCAAAAAAATACCTGGCCAGTATATTTTGTACCTGAATAATACCTTAGAAATTACTGTAGGAAAAAAAAAATTGGTATTTCTGTGATACTTGGCTGAGAGATCGCTGTATTAGCCCATTGTGTTCAAACTGTCTTAGTACCTGAGTAACAGAGTTARCCAGTAGCTGGGAGATTACTGATTTGACAATCTGTGTCTCATGGTGATGA